TCACCAAATAGGATCACATCAAATGCAAAAGTTTCTTCACAGTGAGGAAATAACCAACAAAGCGAAGAGACAACTTATAGAAGAAAAGTTTTGCCAGATATTTCTCAGACAAAGGATTACTATCTAGAACATATAAAGAACTCAAAAAATTAGAAAATTTGAAGACCCAGTTGAAATTGAGCATCTGAAATGAATACATATTTTTCAGATGAAGAAGTAGAAAATGTCAATAAATACATAAGAAAAGTTCAGAATTGCTGGCCATTCGAGAATTACAATTAAAATAAAATTGAGATTTTATCTCACTCCAGAAAAAAGGGCTATCATCAATAAATCAAATAATAACAAATGCAGAAGAGGCTACAGGGGGTGGGGAATGAATCTTTTTTCATTGCTGATGGGCATGTAAACTGGTACAACCAATATGTAAATTATTATGGAGAGTCTTCAAAAACTACAGATAGAAATCCCATTTGACCCAGCCATTCTCCTTCTAGGTTATTTTTCTTAAAGAGTTAAAGACATATTATAATGATACATGAATACTCATATGTATAGCATTAAAATTTGTAATAGATATTTCTGTTTTCTTTTTTTTTTCAAAAAAGATATAGGGTCTGGCTACACAGTGGTCTGGAGTTACAGGTGTGTGCCACCACACGCAGTCTTGGTGGCCAGCTCAGCGCACCTGGGGGGGCGGGGCCAGCAAGGCATCCAACCCTGATCCCTGTGTTTGCCTAAGCAGGTGCTTGGTCTGCTGAGCTATCTTGCTGACCCTGTAATAGCTATTTCTTGGAAGCAGTGCATATGCACATTGGCAAATGATAGGTAAAGGAAATGTGACATTTACTAATAATGGAGTAGTAGTTTGCCATAAAGAAGAACAAACTTGAGTCATTTGTAGGAAAATGGATGTATCATGAGACCATAATGCTAGGTGAAGTAAATCATGCATGGAAACTTAAGTATCACATGATTTGTCTTATATGAGAAAATGTCTTATATGACAAAAAGGAAGGTAATAGCTTCATGAGCATTTACCTATTTCAAAATTTATTAAATTATACACATAATATGTACAATTTGTGGTATGCCAGTTATATCTCAATAAAGTTATGTTTAAAAAATAAAGAACATTTTTTCATGTACTTATTAGCCATTTGTACTTCTTTCAAAAAGTGTCTACTCTGTTTATTTGACTATTTTTTGATTGGGTCATTTATTTTGGGGGGGTTAATTTTTCATAAGTTCTTTATGTATTATATATTAGTCTTTCAGAAAAAATGGAATCTACCTTTAAATTGTCTCTTTACCCTGTTGATTGTCTTCTTTTTTTTTTTTTTGGTTCCTCGAATGCCTTCAGGGCACTTTTGGCCAGCGGGAGAGTTGTGAGGTTCTAACTCCAGCAACCTGAGGCTGACAGCTTTGTGGAAGCAGCCACTTAAAGGACTGAGCTAGGGCCAGGCCCCCCTTGATTGTCTTCTTGTTTTGCAGAAGTCTTTTAACTTGATATAATACTATTTGTTGATTTTAAAATTTTTATCTATTTATTCATTTTTATTTTTATTTTTTTTTGCAGAACCAGGGATTGAACTCAGACCCTTGGCTTGCCAGGGAAGCACTTATTCCACTGAGCCATCTCCCCCTATTTATTCATTTTTACTAAGGATTAAACCCAGGGCTTTCACACTGAGCTTCAATCTAGCCCTTTTTTATTTTTTATTTTGACCCAGGGTTTTGCTAAGTCAATAAGTTGCCTAGCCTGTGACTAAACTGTGATCCTCCTCCTTTCAGCCTCTTAGGGTACTGGGATTACAGGTGTGTGCTACCACACTTGGCTGATTCTTGATATCATATCCAGTGCTACTGGAGTTCTCTTCAGGAAGTACTTGCCTGTGGCTATCGCTTCAAGTGTTTCCCTTATGTTATCTTCCAGTAGTTTCAAAATTTGTTTTTATATTGAGGTCTCTGATCTACTTTGATTTTAGTACACTGTAAGAGATATGGATCTAGTTTCAGTCTTCTATATATGGATAACCAGTTTTCCTGATACCATTTGTTAAAGAAATTATCTTTTCTCTAACATATTTTTTTTGCCCCTCTATCAAAAATCAAATGACTGAAGGTTCATGGGGTTGTTTCTGTGTCTTTTGTTCTAATCCATTGGTCCACAAGACTATTTTTGTTTCAGTACTATTTTGTTTCAGTATAATAACAGAAACCATGCTGTTTTTATTATTATATCTTTGTATTATAACTTGAAATCCACTAGTGTGATGCCTTGTGTTTGTTATTTTTGTTCTGAATTGCTTTTGTTATTATAGGTCTTGTTGTAGATCTATCTTAGGATTGTTTTTTTCTAGTTCTGTAAAGAATGTTTGTTAGTATTTTATTAGAGATTGCATTAAATATGTAGATTGCTTTGGTAATATGGCCATTTAAAATATATTAATTCTGGTTCCTCCCTCTCCAAGATGGCAGCATCTGAAGACATCTTACAGCTGCTTCGACTTCCTGAGCTGTTCGAAATCAGCAAACAGCTTCTGGAGGAGGTAGAAGTAGGGAATGAACCCACCAGCTCTGGGATAATCCAGGATAAAGTATTCAAAGGACTGGACCTACTTGAGAAGGCTGCTGAAATGTTATCACAGCTCGATTTTTTCAGCCGAAAAGAAGATTTAGAAGAAATTGCTTCCATTGACCTGAAGTACCTGATGGTGCCCGCGTTTCAAGGAGCTCTCACCATGAAACAGGTCAACCCCAGCAAGCATCGAGATCATTTACAGCGGGCTCAAGAACATTTTATAAACTACTTAACTCAGTGCCATTATTGTCATGTGGCAGAGTTTCAGCTGCCTAAAATCAAGAACAACTCAGCCGAAAATAACACTGCTAGGCCGGGGAGATGGCTCAGTAGAACAAGCGCTTCCCTAGCAAGCGCAAGGGCCTGAGTTCAATCCCCGGTTCCGGAAAAAAAAAAAAAAAAAAAAAAAAAAATCCTTCCAAAAATAATGCTGTTAGTTCCTCCATGGCCTATGCTAACCTTGTTGCTACAGCTTCTCAAAGAAAGACTAAAATAGAGAGATACAAGTAGAAAAAAGAGGTGGAGCATAGGTTGCCTGCACTGAAATCTGCTGTGGAAAGTAGTCAAGCAGATGATGAGCAAGTTCGTGAATATTACCTCCTTCACCTTCAGAGGTGGATTGGAATCAGCTTAGAAGAGATTGAGTGCATTGACCAGGAAATAAAAATCCTGAGAGAAAAAGACTCTTCAAGAGAGGCATCAACTTCTCACTCAGCTCTTCAGGACAAATCTCCAGTGAAATCCTTCACACTCACTCGGGACAAGGCCCAAGCCAAAGTATTTGGAGCTGATTATCCAAGTCTGGCAACTATGACAGTGAGTGACTGGTATGAGCAGCATTGGAAATATGGAGTATTACCAGACAAGGGAATAGCCAAGGCAACATCAGTTGATTTCAAAAGAGTGACTCAGCAACAGGATGAAGAAGAAAAAGAAAAAGAGGATGATAAGAGGGTATTCCACAGAACACGGGAGTGGGATGACTGGAAAGACATCCACCCAAGGGGCTATGGCAACTAACAGAACATGAAGTAGTCTTCCTACAACATGACAAGACTATGGGGTACAGACATTTCCTGCCAAGGCAACTGCCACTATGCCCTCCTTGGCTTCTGCTTCACTTGTGTACAATGAAGGCAGAGATGCTGACTTTTGCTTTGTGCTAAATAAAGCTTCAGACAATTAAGTGTGTATTTGTACCCTCCATAATAACCAGTGATCTTGTTTTGACATTACTAATTCTTATCATAGTGTATTCTGATTTCTTAAGTGGACAAAAAAGTACTGAGAAATGACTCTGCATACTCAAGAATTAAAAAGGGAAGAGTGATAGATTTTGTTGAATATTCACTGTAGTCTCCATTGCTATAGTTGCAATAATCACACTACCTAGGCTAATTTTTTTAATACAAGGTAAATTTTATCATTCAATTTCAAAGCTTGGCCATTTTATATGCATAACTTACTTAGTCTTCAGACAGCTACAAAAGACAAAAGGACAGGGATTGAATCTAACTTTACTCTGTGGATTGCTAGTGCACCCAACCCACAGAAGATGCTCAATAAATGTTGAATGGACAGCTATGAACCCAAAATATGTAGTTTTATGTGCTCTTACATAAAATAGGAATCCAAAGCTACATTTGAGTTGTTTTTTGTTTTTTTCTTCCCCAGAACTGGGGATTGAACTCAGGCCCTTGCACTTGCCAGGGAAGCACTTATTCCACTGAGCCATCTCCCCAGCCCCCTACATTTGAGTTTAAATTGCACCAAAGACTGGACACTTACTTTTTTTTTTTTTTTTAATTTATTTATGTGTGTGTGGCCAGCTCAGCCCACCAGGGGGCGGGGCTGGCTGGCATGTGGTGCTGGGGGATTGAACCAAGGTCCTTGTGCTTTGCTAAGCTGGTTCTAAGTAGGTGCTTTAGACCACTGAGCCATCTCACCAACCCCTGGACATTTACTTTTGAAATACTTCTGTTAGATGATCTTCCCTTGTGTGGTAGTGCATGTCTATAATCCCAGCTACTTAGAATGCTGAAGAAGGAAGATAACAAGTTTAAGCCCAGCTGGGGCAATTTAGTGAGACCCTGTCTTAAAAAAAAAAAAAAAAAGACTAGAGATACAATTTAGTGGTAGAGCATTTGCGAGCATACAGAAGGTACTGGGTTCAATGCCTAGTCCCACAAAATAAGACAAGACAAAACAAGTCCCCCACTCAACTAGGTTGATCTTTCTTGGGAGGATAAAATAGACAACAGCCATTTTAATTTTTATTATTTTATAACTGTTTAGAATCAACTGGAAGTAACTCAAGATTAAAGTCACCCACTAACACCTCTTTGATGGGAAAATGTAAAGATTAAACAGGGGCTTTTGTCATATGAGAATATCAGTAATTGATTTGTATTCTTACCCTCGGTTCTGTAAGTCTTCTAAATTGGAAGCATTCCACTCAGAGCCCTATGGAATGAAGAACACAAGGTTAGAGATTATTAGGAAATCAATCAAATATAGTTGTTTGAAAAGGAGTACTGTGAGGAAGCAGTAGAGTTTAAAGAGGGCCAATAACATCCAAGTGGTTTATATGTCATTATACTTAAAATTTTCACAAATGACCGAGTAAGAAAGTTATCTTCACTGGTTGTGGTAGTGCATGTCTATAATCCCAGCTATTCAGGAGGATGAACCAAGAGGCTCTCAAATTCAAGCCCCACCTGTGCAATTTAGCAAGACCTTATCTATAGACAGACAGACAGGATTAGGAATGTAACCCAGTGGTAGAATACTTGCATAGTGTGCATGAGGTTCTAGGTTCAATCCCTAGCATGGGAGAAAAGTTAATTTCATTTTCATTTTTATAGATACAAAAATTGATTTTCATAATTCAAATCATTTCTTGCTCTAAATGACAGAGCAGGAGAGGTGCCTTTGACCATCCAACCTAAATTAGATGGCTTATGTTGTCATTCATAGTTATTAGATACTTTGCTCAAGTACGTATCACAATGTATGCTTGTATATTTTTTTGTAGTATCCTTATTTTCTAATTATCTTGTTTTCTGTCATGTAAGTTGCTCGAGGGTAGAGATCAGGTCTCTTGCTTCCTATATAACTTGTGCATCTTGCTAGTGTCTGGCACTTGGGAGTGCTCAATAAATATTTGTTAATGAATAAAGCAGTGTTTATAAATTAACCTAGATCTGATTCCAAAGCTTACATTTTTCTGGTGCAGTTTATTGCATCTAGAGTTGGAGGGCAAGATGTGTGCATGTGGTGGAAAAATATGAAATAGCTTTTATAAACAAAAGTGAAAATGCAACGTATAAAATTTTAAGACAGGGATAAATGGCAAATTTGGGGAGGCTTCTGTAGATTATCTGGAAGACATATCAATTACAATATTTTTGCTGTATTTACATTATCTTCCTCTTTCCTTTTTGATATGTATCACCTCAAAAATAATACAAGATTTGCTACTTAATTCAGGCCAGCCTTCAACTCCCTAGGTAGACAAAGTTGACCTTGAATTTGCAATCTAGAAATTTGCAGTCTTTAGCCTTTAGTGCTAGATATGCACTACCACATCTTTTTATTATTTATCATATTGTATAATTTGAAAGCAATTTAAATATTAAGGTACTTAATTTTGAACACATCATCTGAGAACATTTCCTTATATAATACAATAATATCTATGTATTATAGCACTAATACAATAATCAAATATACTATTTATACTTGAACTTCTGTTCTGTGCCCAAAGTATGCTTTACATTTGCTCAATTAAGGATCATATTCTGCACAAGCTTGCCATATCTTCATTAACTTCTAAATTAGAAGAGTCCACCTCTGCCTTTTCAGTGGGGAAGTCTTTCATGATACTGACATTTTTATAGACTTAAGATCAGTTTTCAGGGGGCTGGGGCAAGTGCAAGGGCCTGAGTTCAATCCCTGGTTCTGCAAAAACAACAACACCAACAACAACAACAACAAAATACAACAAAAAAACAACTCCTTTCTTTTAGTAAAGAATGAGATTTTGTAATCAAGATCTGGGCATTAATTAGGAATGTTTTTAATGATCAGGTATCACTGCTTTTAAAACTTCAAGGAACAAATATGTCTAAAAAATATTGAGCTTAAGTCAGTTGTGGTGGCACATACCTAGCTACTCAGGAGTGAGGCAAGAGGGTCACAATTTCAAGGGAACATGGGCAATTTAACAAATCAAAATAAAAAAGAGGACTAAGAAAGATCAGTGGTACAGTAACCCTGGTTTCAATTCTCCAGTACAGTAAAAAAAGAAGAAAAAATCCCAAGTTTGTACTGTTATTTCCGATTCACACTCAATATCATACAGCTCTTCTTCACCTTATCTGTCTGTCTGTCTGTCTGTCTATCCATCTATCTATCCACCCATCCATCTGTCATCTAACTTACACAGGGGAGCACCATGTAGCTCAGGATAGCCCCAAAGTTTTTAGTTTTCTTGCTTCAGATTCCCATGTTCTGGGTAAGTATGCTACCATACTTGGTTCTTTTGCCCACACTGTATCTCCCTAATGTACACTGAGGCCCTCGATTCCCAATACATCATTACAAAATAGTCAACATTAGTGAGCCAACACTACAACCAACAACAAGCCTATTAAGTTCAGATTTCCTGTCTTTTTTTCCTAGTCATGTGCCACTAAATGTATAATCAAAGTTCATGCTTCAAAGTTACTTTAATTTCTCTTGTTGAACTCATTTATTTGATATACATTTGAACTTTGCTTTATGTTTGTATTCAATTTTAGGGTATCCTTTTCTAATTTGTTTCTATTTAATGTTTTGAGCATAGCTAGAAGACAAAGTTTATTAAAAAGTTAGCTTGGAAGCCTCATTTCTACCTATGTTATCTTCAATTCCCATGGGTAACCATTTCATTCATTTCTGATTTATTCTACTTATGTTTTATTTACTGCTACTTCATATATATTCATATATATTCATATATATTCATATATATTCATATATATATATATTTGAGTTCAGGACCTTGTCTTGCCAGGCAGGCACTGAGCTATATTAGTTCTCACACAAAGTATTATACTGAATTTCTTTGCTATTTATTTTCCAATATAACTTCAAAACTATCCATATAACAGTTCATATTCTTTTTTATTTTTTACTTCCACATAGTACTTCATTAAGTAGTGATATGACAGTTATATTCAACTAGTCTCCTATGAGTAATGTTTCCTATTTGTGGAAGTGAGACTGGGGTGAAAGGCTAAATGAAATTTTGGTAGACAATGGTAAATTCCCCTCAGCAGAGGTTGAACCAGTAAAGAATTACTGCCACTTCTCTGGAGCTTTATCAACAAAATGTGAAGTTTCTGACTTTTTCTCATACTGGAACGTGTGAAATGTTCTTAAGTGAAGTTTCAGTATGTATTTTTAATACAAGTAAAAGCAAGCAAATTTTTAATATTTAGGTCAGTTTTCTATCTTTGAACTATCTGTTCATATCATTTGAAAGGATAATCGTTTTAATTTGAGTATATCTATTTCAGAATTAAATGCACTAAATGGAGTCTAGCATCAGAACACTTGAGCTCAAGTTCTATCTGTCTTCCTACCATAGGTAAAGTGCTTAAACTATATGCATTCTATCCTGTCTATAAAATGGAATAAACTTCTCACTCTAGTCCTTTGTTTTTAAGGAATTTTGTGTGTGTGTGTGTGTGTGTGTGTGTGTGTGTGTGTGTGTGTGTGTTTTGCTCCTTGAATGCCTTCAGGGCACTTCTGCATGGCTGGAGTGTTGTGGGGATCGAACTACAGCAAACTGAGGCTGCCAGCATTGTGGAAGCAGCCACTTAAAGAACTGAGCTAGGGCTGGGCCCCCTAGTCCTTTGTTTTTAATGGGTATCTTCCCCTACAATTACACACATAAAATTAATCACTTTATTTTTTTTATTTTTTTTTTTATTTTTAGGGCAGGGTCTACAGGGTGTTCAGGGTCTCACTACTAGATCAGACTCATAGTGAATCTCCTGTTTTATGGCCTCCTAAGTGCTGGGATTACAGGTGTGCACCACCATGCCTAGTCTCCTGGGGACTGAACCCCTACGCCTGCGCCTGCTTGTAGGCACTTTAATCCACTGAGCTATTAGGCTGGCCTTGCTCACATATTAAAATGGAAAAACTCCATCCCAAATCTTCCTCTAGATGCTGTTATACTTTTTCCTTCATAGAAATAACATATAATACTTTCTCTACCTTCTTATTTCCCAAATATTCACCCTCAGCACTCTGCCCTCTACTCTTACTACGAGTGCTAATGTTCCTAATATTCTCTCCTAACTGTCTAGTCAGGGGTCACCTTTGTATCCTATTCCATTGGCCTTCTCAGAGAATTTCTGATATGTTCATCACTCCTTTTGGAATCAGACCAGACCATACAAATGCCTAGTCTCATGGCTGGCACAACAGAGGACCAACAAATGTTTGTTGTATGAGTGATTAAATAAATAAATAAAGCCCTCTGAAAACTGTCAACTGTTATATAAACACTATGATCATATTACAAGTGATCTGTAATCTGACTGTTACACAGGACATCTCAAGGACATTTTGTTAAAGTTCCATTTAGGAAAAGGTCAGTAGATGATGTCTAAACATGAGGGCTTGGCGACTTATTTTCAAAAACATGGAAGACTCTAAAGTCTTTATGTTCAAACTTAGAAAACTAGCTCCAAACCTGAAAGAACTACATAGGATTTAAGAAGACAGATACTAAACAATAAGGGCCAAGTGGCTAAACTGGAGCCTGGGCAATGTGATCACTTTGCTTAATTTAGAAATCTAAATCCTTTTGAATTCTATCCAGGTAGATAGAAATAACCCTGATGTGATGGGAAGAGCTGATGGTTTTTATCTACCTGTCCAGACAGAATTCATTTGGACAGCCTGAAGTGACTTCTACCCAGAGCCAAAATAAATTAAAGGCATTGGTCACTGACTCAGTGAAGTCCATATAAAGTGACTTGGACTGGGCTTAGGGGCTGCTTCAGGTTGAAGATGAAAGAACTACAGTCAACTTGTCACTACTTTTCTGTCATCAACACAGATACTAATACTAGCCTCTAGGGGTGCTTCACTGACCTAATCACTTTATTTATTTATTAATCATTACTTTTTAATATATTTTAGTACAGGGACTACAGGGTCTCACTACAAGATCGGGCTTGAAGTGATTCTCCTGTTTTCAGCTTCCCAAGTGCTGGGATTACAGGCGCACACCACCATGCCCAGTCTCAGTGTGTCCTGGGGGTGGGGCTGGCACAGCACGCTGGGGATCAAACCCTGGTCAATGTGCCTGCCTAAGCAGGCACTTTAGTCTGCTGAGCTACTTGGTTTTTTTTTAGCCATCACAAATAGGACTTTATTTATCACTATTAAAAATCTGGATCTTA